GGCCAAAGGGCACTAGTCAGAGGGGGGGGGGGGCTCCTCTCGCGGGCGGGGGGGGGGGGGGGGGGGGGGCGGGGGGGGGGGGGGGGGGGGGGCGGGGGGGGGGGGGGGGAAGTGGAAAAGGGGCCCCCGCCCCCCCCCCCCCCCCCCCGCACTAGATGGGACTCTGGTCATGCCTGCTGAGAGCAGAAGAGGATTCCCTCCTTTATCTTTAGATGAGAGTCTTGGGGGCCCTTGCCTGGAGCCTGCAGTTCCTGGGGCCTGCAATGATCCCATATCCTCCAGCCCTCTCTGCAGCATTAGCATCCCTGATTCACAAAGGAGGAAACAAACCAGGGCCCTCCTGTCAAGAAGCTTTCCATGGGTACTCCCTCCCCGGGGTTGACCCACAGGGCAGGCAGGGGCTCTGACCGTGGGCAATACCCTGAGTCCTCGCAGACCAGAGCCTGACCCTGCCCTTCCTGAGCAGCTCTTGGAGGTGCATTGCCGTGTTCTTACTATGGTCATGATTTACTTTGCCATCACTAGGAGTCCAGACCTCTTAAGCAGGGAGGAAGAGCTCTTCCCAGGGTGGGTCCTGGGTGAGAGTAACACCCCTGGGTTGCAGCTGGAAGGTGGGTCAGGCCAGAGCCTGGGCAGTGGCCTGTGAACTGTTGAGGTCATCTGGTCCAAGCCTCCTTGGGTTTCCCCAACTTAGTGTCCTTTCCTGCCTTGAACTCAGGGCCTGACCCACTCCTCAGAGACTGGTGGCTGTCCCGGCCACCCCGACCTGGGAATTGCATGGAGGGTTGGGGATGGCTCCGTGAGTTCTTAGCCTCAGGTGGTTGGGTTTCTGGTGACCCACATGCCAAGCTGGTGGCTAACCATGTTTTCCCTGGACACCTGCTGTGACAAGGGACCATGTCACCCTTGGCTGTGCCCATCCCACCAGGCAGAGGGGAGCCAGGCCCTCTCCCACCTAGGGTAGGAGCTAGGGGAGGGAGCCCTTAGGGAGACCCTCTCCACACAACTCTTGGCTTTGCCCCAGGGTGTGGCCGGGCAGGCCCTCCACCCGGGGGTGGGGGGTGCCCAGCCTTCATGTATGAGACTCTCTCGTGCCTGCTAAACTTGGTTCTCCTTGAGCATGTCTTGGCCCTTGTGGGAAGGTTGGCCATGCCTCCAGGAAGCACAGTGCCCACGAGGAGGCCCCCAGCACCAGCTCAAGCCTCTGCTGTCTTCTCTTTCAGACGGGATCCAGACCCAAGTCCTGTGAGGTTCCTGGAATCAAGTAAGTCTCAGCAGAGCCCACCCTGCACACCCTCCACCGCATGGGGCTACCTGGACTACCCCAGGGCTTTCTGCCTGCTGTCAAGGCTGCAAATCCTGGCACGAGGGATGCTGTGCTGCTGGAGCCACCCAGCAATCCCCGTGTGGGGGATGCTCCAGCCACCCTCTGCCTGAGGATGGAGCCTCCACACACCCATCCCTCAGATACACTGCACCTCCAGGGGAAGTGGCTGCCCCTGCCTCCCACCTACCTGCAGATAGTCTGTTTCTCGAGGTCTTGTTCCAGCTGACAGTCCTTCTGTGAGCCTGGTGACACCTAATTCAGGGGTGTCATTTTGCGCCCCTAATTTTCTCCCACCAGCCCCTGCCTCCCACCTACCTGCAGATAGTCTGTTTCTCGAGGTCTTGTTCCAGCTGACAGTCCTTCTATGAGCCTGGTGACACCTAATTCAGGGGTGTCATTTTGCGCCCCTAATTTTCTCCCACCAGCCCCCTCCTGTCCCTGCCTGCCCCTGCCTGCTGCAGCTTCTGGGGGAGGCCTGGCTGGCCCCCGTCTTGAGAGCTCACCTCCTGCCTCTGCCTGGCTTTTCTCCAGCATCTTTCCATCCGCCGACCAGGAAAACACTACAGCCCTGATCCCCGCCACCCACAACACGGGGGGCTCCCTGCCCGACCTGACCAACATCCACTTCCCCTCCCCACTGCCGACCCCACTGGACCCTGAGGAGCCCACCTTCCCCGCGCTGAGCAGCTCCAGCAGCACCGGCAACCTCGCAGCCAACCTGACACACCTGGGCATCGGCGGCGCTGGCCAGGGTAAGGGCCTAGGACATGGCACCGGGAAGTGTCATTCCCGACAGCTCACCACATAGTGACAATGACATGTGCATTTGAACAGTGACTGAGCAAAGTCTTATTCATAATGCCAGGCGTCCCAGGGGTGGGAGGTAGGGAACCCTCCATGGGGGCTCAGCATTGTCAGGCCGACCCAACAAAGAATGACATCCCAGGTAGAGGGCACAGCCTGGGCAAAAGTCTGGGCTGGGAAAGCGCATGATGCTCCCAGGGATCAGACAGTGGCTTTGGGGTGTGGGGCAGTGCTCAGGACCTCACAGAGAGGCTGGGGGAGCCCTGGAGGGCTTAACCTAGTCTGGGTGGGTCAGGCTTCTCCTGCCCCTCCTCACTCCCAGACACTCATGGGGGGTAGAACCAGGTCTAACCTGCCCGCCCCCCACATCTGACTGTGGCCACCTGCTTATGACACTCTGGTTCTGTCCCCTCCCCAAGCTCCATACTCATTTCCCTTCAGCCACATCCACAGGGACGTCCCATGAGGCCCTCACCTGTCCCAATAGCCCCTGGTGTTGTGCTTACCCTGCTCCTCCCAGGGACCATCCTCCATTGGCTCCTGTGACTGCAGAGGTGTCCCTTTTAACTCCTCTGTTTTCTCGCCTGCCCGGACCTGTGGTCAGCATGTCTTCGGCCTCACCGTTAGGACCCTGCCCAGCATGGATCCCCACCTCCTGCCTGGCCCCTCTCCCTTGCCCCCAGCCTCTTCGCTACCCAGAACAGCCATCAGCCCACAGCTCTTTTCTGCTCAGGACCTTGCGTGGCCCCCCCAACTCCGTCTCAGTGAAAGCCCAAGATCCCCGGGGCCTGAGAGGTCAGCCATGGTTCACCCTCCACCCTCTGACCTTGTCTCCTGCCTCTGTCGCCCACAGCCCATGAGCTCACCTTGGGGCCTTTACACATGCTGCTCCTGTGGTTCTCTTCAGGTGGCTACAGGGCACCTCTGTCAGCTACCCTGCCCCACCCAGACCTCATCTCCTCTGTGACACCATGTTGGCTCTGGTCTCACACTACAATATTTTTCTGTGCTCACCTCTGGCTAACGTTGCTACTTGGCTCCTGGGCTGTCCTCTGGGTTAGGCCTCCATTGCCCGCATCTCCAGCGTTACCCTAACACCCCCGTTGCTGTGGGGTATGTGGGTTTGCATCCCAGGGCTGGCAGGCTTCTGGCTTTCAGGGAGGAGATGGGTTGGCCCCAACCAGCCTCACGTGGTGGGATGGGCAGGAGGGGCCATGGCAGGGGTATGTTGGGAGGTGGGTTTGTCCCCACCGTGTGCTCTGTCCTGCCTCAGAGCTGCAGAACGAGCCTACGCTCCCCTGTCCGTTGTCCACCCTATCTCCACCCCAAGCTTGGTGGGCTGTGCTGTGCAGGGTTTTCCATGAGAATCACATGCTTAAATTTGGATTTGGCAAAGTTCCTCTGGCCGCCCTGAGGAGAAGGAGCTATCAGGAGCGCTGACAGCTCCTGGATCAGGGCAGAACCCCAAGCAGGTGCTTGGCAGAGAGACTTCAGGGTGAAATTGACCCTCTTGGGAGTTGGGTTGATGCGAGGACTGGAGGTACCCAGAGTTGCCCTGACTTTGGTGCTGATGGGTCGGGACAGGTGGGGACAGACGAGGGCATTAGGGATGATACGGATGTCCCTGGGATTTTGGATGAGGGTATGGAGGCCAGAAGGGTGAAGAGAGGAACAGAACGTGGCTTGGGGCATCGAGGCAGTGTTCTGTCTTCTACACCCTGGCCTCAGGATCACCAAGGAAGATCCAGAGACAAGATGCGCAAATTCAGGGGAGCAGAGGTTCATTGCCCCTGAGAGACAGGACCAGGCAGGGGTGTCTGCACGTGCCTGTGCAAAGCGAGGAACCCAAAGGTCAGCTCAGGGCTGCCAGCACACTCACCCCCACCCCACGCAGATGCCTGTCTGCTGGCCCCTTTTCCCCCTCATGTTTCACGGTGGCCTCCAGAGCATACCACCCCCTCTGCTGGAGGGCGTGCCTGTGCAAAGCGAGGAACCCAAAGGTCAGCTCAGTGCTGCCAGCACACTCACCCCCACCCCACGCAGATGCCTGTCTGCTGGCCCCCTTTTCCCCCTCATGTTTCACGGTGGCCTCCAGAGCATACCACCCCCTCTGCTGGAGGGTCCTTGGCAGTCCCCCAGTGCCCGCCCGGGAGCCGCACACCTCCAGCTGGCGCCCAGTCTAAACAAACACAGGAAAATACACAACACATGTGAAAAGCAGAGTCAGGCTTGCCGGAGCACGCAGCCCATAATGTCTGACATGTGTTGGGTTGTTTGTGAACCTGCCGCTCCAGCAGCACGCCTGGCAGGGGCCTTGCTTTCCAGGCGCTTTTGAAGTCAAACTGAGCCACCCACCCCAGCACACGTGGAGCTTGCATCCCCTCTCACCCCTCCCCCCCGCAGCCCATCCGCCAGTTGGGACATGAGCCCCTCGGGGAGGAGAGGCCTCTGCCTCCCAGGCGACTGTGCCCCTCTCATCTCCTTCCGTGTTTGCCAAAGTCATGTCCTTGGCTGCTTGTCAGAATGCAGGAGGAGGGCAGGCTCCAGGTCCTCCTTCCTGGCACAGCTCTGAGGCCAGCCGGCCCCACTAGCAGGGCTTGTGTGCCACAGGGTGGGCCCTGCCACCTGGCCCATCCTGCCCACCCAGCCTGCCCTCCCTGGCAGCTCCCCCTGTCCACCTCAAACTTCCCTTCCAGCTGGCTCTGCTCCTATTCCCAGGTGATCCACGTTCCCAAAAGGAATTCAACAGCATGGCACCTGTCACCCTCCTGGCCCAGCTGGCCTCTTGGGGCGGCCAGGAGCTCATTTAGCAGCCCCGAGGAGGATTAAAAACTCCATGTATTCAGGGCACCCACTGCAGAATAGCCAGATCCAGCCCAGTGATATATTTCATATGGCCCACAATTGTGTGTGTGTGGTACTTCAAACTGGCATTTAAAAATCAAAGGAGTACATGTGGAAAGTAGGATTTCTCTTCGGCTTCTCTTGAAGAATCAAAAGGTTCAGCAGCAATGGGTTGACAACCTGCATCTCGAGATGGGCCAGAGCACTCCAGTTTGCCATGGGCCCCATCTGCCTCTGTTTCCCCATGTCCACCCTCCCTCTTGGCATTTGTCTCTGTTGCTTACCAAACCCTGACATCTGCTCCCAACCTGGGCATCAGGTGTTTCTCGGCACACTGGATGCATGAAATGGGGTTCACTCAGAGAAGACGAGGAAGTGGCCCAGGGTCCCAACTCCGAGTGTGCTCTGAGCAGGTGTCTCCCAGACTCCCCCCATGTAGGCCTTGCTGATGCCTCCCTTGACATCGTTGATTCAGGCACCCAGGGTCTGTGCATACACCAGCCCTCGGGGCTCTGGCAGGAGCTGTGGATGGCACCAGGCACCTCCCCAGTGCTTAGCTAAGTGGAGCCGCCAGGGCGTCCAAGGGGAGGTGCAGGCATGACCAGACTCGCCCAGTGAGAAGCTGCCTTGGGCACAGACAAGGCTGCTCATCATCTCCTCAGCGTGCTTTTGGGTGCATTCTTGGAAGCCCATGAACCCGCTGTCCCATCTGCTGGAACAAGGTTGACTTGGTGCCCTGGGCAGGATGGGCCCGGATCTCCCAGGGTGAGTCAGCCGGCTTTACCCCGCCTTGGCTGCAGGACAGACTTTTCACAGCTTACTTATGACCTCTCTGGGGCCTCCTGGGTGAACCCCAGAGGGCCCCTGTTACCATTGCCATTTCACTGATGAGGTAACTGAGTTGAGGAAACCAAGTCTTGGGATAGATAAGGGGCCAGGCCCCCAAAACCCCCCAGCTTGGGGTAGCCTTCCTGGCGTGGTGCCCTGGGATAACCCAGCAGGTCCTAACTGCTGCCATGCTGAACTTGACTTCACCCAGCTCCCTCACTATGCTGCATCCAGGGATTGGATTGCTTGGGGACGAGGGTTATGGGGGCCAGGGTGAGGGAAGGGACAGCACAGAGGCCCTTGGCAGGAGTTCCAACAGGAATGAGCATGTCAGATCCCAGGGCAGGGAGAGGGGAGAACATTAAGGAATAACAGTTTTTAGTTTGGGCAGCCCGGTTGGGGCGGTGCTGCAGCATGGGGAATGCACAAGGTGACGGGAGGGGGGAGGCATGCACGTGGGATGTCGGAGGGCTGGCGGGTACTCAGATCTGGGGGCCAAGAGGGGCAGTTACAGGAATGGACATGTTCAACAAAGTGGGGTGAGAAGAGCTATGAGGCTGTAGAGGAAACCGCAGTGTCAGTCAGGACTGAAGTGCTCGAAACTAACTGAAACCCAAGCCAGTTTAAGCAAAAGAGGGGATTTATTGTCTCCTGAAACCAGAAAGCACCAGCGTGGCTGGATTGGTGCTCAGGTGCCACCTCTCCCCCTTGTGGTCCCAGAATGTCCCCCACAATTTCAGACAGTCCTTCCTGGAATTCTATCCAAAGTCCCAGGGCAGGCTCTCATTGGACCAGCATGGTCACATGCCCATCTAGGGACCAGTCACACACTCCAGAGATGTGGAAGTGCTGACTGGCTGGGCCTGTAGGACACGCCCTCTTGGAGGGATGGTAGGGACAGTGGGGAAGAATGGAGGAACAAACTATGGAGGACCTGGTTGGAGGACCCCAGATTTAGGGACTCGGGCCTCTGAGGGGGGCCCCACTGGGCTCTGTCTAAGCAACTGAGCTGTCCCCATGCAGTGTGATGGTGGGTGTGTGAGCAGCCTTTCCTCAGCAATCTCACTCCCACTCCCTCCCTGCCTCCCTTCTTCCTTTCCAGGGATGAGCACGCCAGGCAACTCCCCGCAGCACCGCCCCACCAGCGTCAGTTCCCTGTCCCTGAGCACAGAGGCGAGGCAGCAGCAGGCCCAGCAGGTGTCACCCACTCTCTCCCCGCTGTCACCCATCACTCAGGTGCGAGGGTTTGGTGGGGGCAGGTGGGCGGGGCCCTGCTCTGCTTCAATGGGAGGCCTCCTGCTCCTTCCGGGGGCCACGGAATCCTGAGAAAGTTCCCAACACTTTTACTTGTTATTAACAAATTTTCAGACACATGGGAAATGCAAAAATCAGTGGTCCTGGAGTCCCCCCACCCGTCTCAGGCAGATGGAATGGCTAGCCATCAGCTTCTGCCTGTTGTGAAAAGGCGTTCTTCAGCATTGCTGCTTTCTCTTCTTCAGGGGCTAGTTGAAAGGTTACATAATAAAATTTAGAGAGTTTAGCTTTTATTCTGTCAATTTGCTGTATTTGCTCCATCTGCCTATTTTGATAGTTTGTACATGTCTAGGAATGTCCATTTCATCTAGGTTATCCAACTTGTTGGGCATAGGGTTGCTTGTAGTACCCTCTCATGATCCTGGTTTTTTTGCAGCTGGCTGGTAAGGGATTGCCATCCTCATTTCTGTGAAGTTGGTAGCAAAGTTCCCACTTTCATTTCTGATTTTAGTAATTTGAGTCTTCTCTCTTTTTTTACTTGGTCAATCCAGCCTAATAGAATGAGTTGGGAAGTGTTTCCTCCTTTCCTAGTTTTCAGATGAGGATGAGAAGCAATTTAATTCCTCTTTATTTTATTTTATTTATTTTTATTTTATTTTTTTAAAGATGACCGGTAAGGGGATCTCAACCCTTGGCTTGGTGTTGTCAGCACCACACTCAGCCAGTGAGCAAACCGGCCATCCCCTGTATAGGATCCGAACCCGCGGCCTTGGTGTTATCAGCACCGCACTCTACCGAGTGAGCCACGGGCCGGCCCTTAATTCCTCTTTAAACGTTTGATAAAACTCACCAGTGAAGCCGTGTGGGTCTTGGCTTGTCTTTGTTGGGAGGTTTAAAATTACTGATCCAATGTCCTTACTTGTTGTCAAGCTATTCTTATTTTCTATTTCTTCTTGAATCAGTTTTGGTTGCAGATGTGTTTCTAGGAATTTGTCCATTTCGTGTATTTTTAAAAAATCTCTAATAGGGAACTTTGTCTGCTTTGTTTGTTTGCTTTTTTTTTTTTTTTTTCCTTTTTTTTTGTCTTTTTTCGTGTCCGGCAACGGATCGCAACCCTCAGTGTCGCGCCCGTACCAGATCGGGACCGGCAACGGGATCGCAACCGTCGGTGTTGCGCCCGCACCTCGCTCAGCCAGTGAGCGGGAACCGGTCTGTATGTGGGATCCGAACCCTCGAAGGGAGCGCCGCCACGCTTCCCAAGCAGCGCACTGTAGCAGTGCGCCACCGGGCCGGCCCTGTTTGTTTGCTTTTTAACGTAATCACGATGGCCTTGTCCACCACCAACAAAATTAATAGTAATTCTTCTGTACTTTCAGATGCCTGGCTTGGGCCTGGTGGCCATCTGTCCCCCACCCCCTACGTCTCTGTCTGCTTATAAGGTTGTCTTGTTGGGATCAGGATCCAGACAGAGCCATGGGTGGCTCCTGGTGGCTTTGTGTTCAGTCTCTTCAAGAACTAGCTTGTCTTGTGCCTCCTGCCTTTTCTGGAAATTCTTTTTATTTGTGGACTACCCACTGCTATTAGGGGCCAGGTATTCCGCTAAATGTTTGCATCCATCCCATAGCTCCTGGGCATGACCAGCCTCTCTCAGAGGGACGCCCACCTGCCCCAGGGACTGTCGGCTTCCCTGTGGCCCTGGCTATGAGTTTCTGCACAAACTGTGTCACATTCTTCCCTGTGCTTATTTTTCTCTTTTCAACTCTGAGGTCAGTCCTTGCTGAATGACCACACCAGTGCCTCTCTCACCTGCAACCTCTCCAGCGTGGGCAAGGCTTTGGGGTAGGGGTGGAAGGTTCTTTCCCACTAGGACCCCAGAGCTGGCTGCCCACTGAGCTACTGGAGTGTGGCCTCCCTGTGGCTGCCCTGCAGCAGCTGGGGACTGCCTGAGCTGCCTGAAGTGTACTGAGAGTGAAGGGCCCACTGGGTGCAGGGCACAGCCAGCTGGTTTAGACACCCAGGCCCCATCCAGCTCCAGCCTAACTCCTTGTGGGCCCTGGCTAGGTCTTTAGGAGCTCCCAGTCCAGGGGCCGGACTTCATAAGGTTCGTCTATCCCGTGTTGCTGAGCATGCCAGGCCATGGGGGCCGACAGAGACCAGGTGCTCGCGGCCTGGCCCCATGCAACGTGCCTCCGCCTGATGCCCTCTTCTCCCCCCAGGCTGTGGCCATGGACGCCCTGTCTCTGGAGCAGCAACTGCCCTACGCATTCTTCACCCAGACGGGCTCCCAACAGCCTCCACCACCACAGCCCCAGCCCCCACCGCCTCCTCCACCGGCGTCCCAGCAGCAGCCGTCCCCACCTTCTCCACAGGTGCCCGTCCACCTTCCCCCGGGCGGCCCCCTGATGCCAAGAGCCAGCTTGACACGGGGGCCGCAGCTGCCCCCACTTGCTGTCACAGTACCGTCCTCTCTCCCCCAGTCCCCCTCAGAGAACCCAGGCCAGCCGTCGATGGGGATCGACATTGCCTCGGTAAGCCCACGACAGGGTCCTGTGGAGCCTGGGTGGGGGGCTCATAGAGGAGGAGCCTGGGCCTGCAGGAGGCCGGTCAGGGCATCTGGCTGCATATGCAGTCCCACTGAGGCCGACCTCTCCCAGGATCAAGACCAAAGCAAATGCTGCCCTGGGCCTGCCCCAGGCTAGACATTCGATGGGGTTTACAGCTTGGGATCTTCAAGCTAAGGTTGCCACCCTGTGTATAAGTGGGGAAACTGAGGCATGAGCAGAATCACTGGCCCCAGACTCCACCAAAGTGGGCCATCCCATGTTGGGGGCGCTCTTGGCCCCTGCTGTCCTTCCTACCCGAAGCCAGGCTTCCTTGGAGGCAGGAAGAGCACAAAGCTCTCAGGGCCTAGGAAGCAGACTTCTGGAAGTCAGGGGGCACAATTGAACTCAGGGTAGGGAAGGACTAACCCTAATCCTAACTCTGTGAGGCAGTGGCTCATGCAGCATGGTGCCCGGGGCTGGGGGGGCTGCAGCTCAGACTGTGAGACCCCTGCCCAGGGCCAGACTCAGGGAACAGGTGCTGGGTTGGATCCCTGCACCTGCAAGCCTTTCTGACTGTTCCGACTTTCTTCCTGGCCACTACAGTGGGAGGAGACGGGTGGGTCACAGCTATGTTTGGCCACATTCAGGGGAGTAGGGGCCCATGTTTGGGGTGCAGTGAGTCCTCCACTCCATCCTGGGCTGCCAGCCCCAGACTAAACATTATCAGAATGTCACGTGCTCTGCAAAGAACAGACCCCTGAGCTGGGCAGGGTGGGTGGCTGACCCAACAAGCAGAGACCCACATTCCCAAGCTGCTCTGACCCCTTGGAGGGCATCCACCCAGGGTCCCCCGGATAGGGAAGTGCCCAAGTCTTTCCTTTGGCGTAAACACAGTGGGTGCCAAGGGAGGGGGCCTTGCGTTAGAGCTTGGGGCACGTTGGAAGCACAGGGTTTCTGGGCCAGGTGTAGAGACAGCCCCTCCCATGGCTCTTGGGTCATGTTGTCTACCGCCCAGCCCCACTCCCCCCAAAAAGATGGATTCCTGCCCCCAGGGACTTCTAGCTTCCATGGGGGACAGACTCTGGTGGCCTCCTCTGTGAGTTTCTGCAGACTTACTGAGCAGAATTTCCCTCTGGACATTTTCTTTCCAACTCTGAAAGGCTCAACCTTGTCATCCTCAGTTGACCGAGTTGGCACCTCTATCCTCCCACACCCTGCTGAGTGAGCCCATCCCCGCCCTGCCCTGCCCCAGCCCCACCTGGACTCAACCCTCACCCCAAATTGCTTAGAAAGGGCCACTGAGGATGTGGGGGAAATGGAGAAACCATGGGACCCTGGGCCAGTCAGGCCAGGTCTCATTGAACAGTAGGCTCAGAGAGGTCAGGCAGTTTGTCCAGAGGCATACAGCATGGCTGTGCCAGGCCAGGAACAGATGGTCCTGAATTCAGATCCTAGCCCAGCCTGGCCTGCCTCGAATGGGCCTGGACTACAGCATTGACAAGCCAAGGCCCTCTGTTCCTCGAATGGGTTGAGGACGTGGCTGCACCTCAGGGGCCTCTTAGATGGAATAACCCCAGTGGGCTTGTTCTCAGGGACACCAGCTATGGTGACTGACCCATGCTGGGAGCCTGCAGTGTGCCCAGGGTGGCCTTCACTGCCAGTCCCACCACCCCGAGAGCAGGAGGACCTGCTGTGGGCATGTAGCTAGGGGGAATTGGGAGCAGAAGGCTATGCCCACCTGCCCAGTCCTGGCCTTCCCTGCCTGTGTGGGTGTGTGCAGACACATGCATATGGGGGGCTGTGCATACACGTGTATGTACATTTGTGTGAGGGTGTGTGCATGTGTCAGTGTGGGTGTACGTGTATGCATGTGTATTTCTGTGGTTTTGTGCATATATGTGTACACTTGTGTGGTTGTGCATGCACGTGTGGGTGTGTGCACGTGTCTGGGTGTGTGCAAGTATGTATGCATTCATGTGTGTGTGCATGCATGCGTGTGTGTGCATGCATGTGTGTGTGCATGCACATGTGTGCCCAAGTGTGTGTGTGTGCATGCCCATGTGTGGTGTGTGTGCATGCACCTGTGTACATGTGTGTAACCAAGTGTGTTGGTATCTGTGCATGCACGTGTGTGTGCCCATGTGGTGGTGTGTGGCAGTGCATGTGTGGTTGTGCATCCATATGTGTCTATGGGTGCACGTGTGTGTCTAGGTGTGCATGTGTGGGTGTGTGCATACCCGTGTGCATGTGTGTGCACATGTTGCCGTCCGGCCCTGACGTCTCCTGAGTTGAGGCCAGCCCTTCCATCTCCCTCTTGGGAGGGAGGGCAGTTCTGTGGGGCTGGGCTCTGCGCTCTTGTAGCACCCCCCGACCTTCACACACACCCCTCCTGGGGGAGCTGGGTATGGAGGCAGGTTCCCATGACATCTCAGGCTCAGATAGCTCAGAGACATCCATTTCCTGCAGGTGCCTAAGGATTCTATGCTTACCCATGGGGTGGCACCCACCACCAAGGCATCTAGGGTGGGGGGGGGCTGCCAGAGGGCTTATCAGGGTATAGGCCACTTTCTGGAAGCCAGGATGAACCCCATGTGCAGGCATCCAGGCCCCGCTGGTGTCCTGACCCGTCTGTCCTCGCAGGCACCGGCTCTGCAGCAGTACCGCACTAGTGCTGGCTCCCCAGCCAACCAGTCTCCCACCTCGCCTGTCTCCAATCAAGGATTCTCCCCAGGGAGCTCCCCGCAAGTAAGGGACGCCGCCCCCCCCCCCCCCCACAGTCCCGCCTTGCTTCATGTCCCCGTGCCCCCTCCTGCCCGCCTGCTGTCTCTGCCTCACGCCTCACTCCATCCCATCTCATCCAATCTGTGGGACCAGAGCTGTGCACTCACCAGGCTGCATCAGGGCAGAGACCAGACCACTGGTGGTCACCCTGGGCAGAGGAGGAGGCACTGCCTCCCGGCCCCTCATGCCCTTTCTCGGGAGCTGCTGTGTTCCTGTCCTGTCTTTGTGGTTTCTGCCGAGCACTGGCTGAGGCTGGCAGGGGCTTCTCACTTTCCCGCCTTGCTTCATGTCCCCGTGCCCCCTCCTGCCCGCCTGCTGTCTCTGCCTCACGCCTCACTCCATCCCATCTCATCCAATCTGTGGGACCAGAGCTGTGCACTCACCAGGCTGCATCAGGGCAGAGACCAGACCACTGGTGGTCACCCTGGGCAGAGGAGGAGGCACTGCCTCCCGGCCCCTCATGCCCTTTCTCGGGAGCTGCTGTGTTCCTGTCCTGTCTTTGTGGTTTCTGCCGAGCACTGGCTGAGGCTGGCAGGGGCTTCTCACTTGGATTAGGTACGTTAGTGACAGCTGCGGCCCCGTGGGGCCACACCCAGCATCCCCACGGAGTGGCCCAGGGACGATGCCTCTAAACACCCATGGGCCATCAGAACCCACCCCAGTGTGAGCACTCCCACTTTGGGATGCAGCTGAAGTGACCGGCTGGCCTGTGGTGGAGGCTCTGACCCCTCACTCAGTCCCCACTGCTCCCCTCTGCCCTGTGGAAGGGTATGTTCCTCAGCCAACTAGCCTGGAAAGCTCCGAGGGGCTCCACGGCATCTCAGGTCTTGGTTTCCATCCCATGGATGAGGAGACTGAGGCTGGCCCCAGGCGATGGGGCGGGGTGTGACCTCTTTGTCACACTTGGGCTTTCCTTCCTGCCACACCTGGCACAGTTGGGCCTAGGGCTCTGATGCTCCTCACCTCTCCCGAGCCCAGGTTTCTCAGACTCTCCCCTATACCCCCAGAAGCCAGTCCAGTGCCCAAGTAGAGGGTTCGATCCTCCTTCTTGGCTTGAGCTGGCAGAGAAGCTGTCCTTCCAGCCGGGGCCTGGCAGGAATGAGGTCAGGCTCCCTTGTCCCGGGGGATACACCATAGGTGCCAGTACAAGGATAGTGAGGACCCATGTGTAGGGACACCTGCCTCATAAGTCCAGGGTCCTGCTGGGATCACTGCTCACAGCTCCTCCCCTGAAGGCGGGGCAGGGGGTGGGGGGGTCTGTGGCCATGAACTTAAGGCAGGGCGTGGTCAGCCTGGTGTCTGCACACGCTCTGTCCATCCACTCCGGCTCTGAGCTCTTGGGCTCCAGCCACATCTGGTCTCTTCATGTGGCGCTGGTGGGGGAGGGGCCAGAGACTCTGGTCCAGGCAGGGGAAGTGGCAGGTGGTGCCTCTCCCCTGTGGGCAGCCAGTGAAGGTCTCTTGCAGGAGGACAGAGCAGGAGTTAGGGGTCAAGCGGATTTCTGTCAGGAGTCACATGAATGGCTGGTTCATTCTCTGTCCCAAGCCAAAGTGGGTTAGTCTGCCACACAGCAAGCGTGTTGCTGTCTTGTCAAGGCCGTGTCTGTGTGTCTATTGTCTGTTGTGTACTGGTGTGGAAGCAGGTGGCTCACATGGTCTGAGGACAGGACCATCAGGACATGGCACCCCCAACCAGAGACGAGGCACAGGGAGCTCTCTCAGGCAGCAGGTGCCAGGCAGAGGCCATACCTGATTTACCACTGTGACTGTGTTTCCAAGGACTCAATCGTTGGCCTGTGAGCCTGGCCACCCCATACCTCCCTGCCTGGGCAGCATCTCCTCGGGGTGCACAGGGCAGCTGTGATTTAGTCCTAGGTGAGGCATCCCACACCTTCTGAGCTGACCTCCTTGGCAACCCTTGTGGCACAAGAGAAACAGCCTGTTTCCCTGTGTGTGCTGGGTCTCTCTGAGTCCAAGGCCATGGGGACAGGACTGGGGCCTATCTTGGAAGCCCAGTCCCTCCCCATCCACCCCCAGGGTCCTGAGCCCCAGAACAAACCTGCCCCAACGTCGGACGAGGTCTGTGGCAGCCGGTGTGAAATTAGCCATAGATGCCTCTCTCTTACTGGCTAAACCCAGCCACTACCTTGAGGGCCCCCTTCTCCAAAACCTGAAGCTGTCAGTTTTTAGGGCAATGGCAGAATTTTTGCCACATTGGCTACTCCTTGCCTTCCTCGTTTCCCCTTTTTAACTCCTCCCTGGCATTTAAATGGAACATCCAAGCTTTTGGTTGCCCAAGTACATGGGGATCTAGAACAAAGTGCAGATGGGGAGCTCAAGGGGAAGAGGTCTAGGGCCTTTGATCTGTGGAGACATTTACTGGGACTCCAGCCGGGCACATGTGTCACATGGTACGGGGATCTAGAACAAAGTGCAGATGGGGAGCTCAAGGGGAAGAGGTCCAGGGCCTTTGATCTGTGGAGACATTTACTGGGACTCCAGCCGGGCACATGTGTCACATGGTACCCTGGGAATGGCCTCAGTGCAGTGGCTTCTTCGGGCTACCCTGTCCCACAGAGGAGGAAACAGGCCAGAGCTCCCAGCCGTGGGGAAACTGCTGGCTGGGCTAGGTATGTGTTTCCCGAGGCCTCAGTATCCCAGGGGTGACCTGACACATGCACACCGACCCCCACCCTCCCACACCCTGGCAGGCTCTGTCCTGACTTCTCCCTGCTGGTGTGGGCTTTAAACGTCCCCTTTCCAGTGTCTCAGCCCTCCACTCCTCTCCCAGGGACAGCCCTGGTCCCTGCCCCTGAGAGCCCCAGCTGGCCTTGGATCTCAGGAGTCAGGCTGTGCCATTCTCCCACTCCCCCCAGGCCCTGGGGTGTCGCAGGGCAGGAGCTGTCCTGGGCCTATCCTGTGCTTGCGTAGCTGGTGGTCGGCTCTGTGTGCCTGTCCTGTTCACATGCGTGTGGCCTAAGCCCTGTCTTGTATCTCCCTGGTGGCCCCCCAGGGGTTGCCGTTCGTATTGAATGTCACATCTGGGCACCTCCCACCTTGGCCCACTCCCAGGCTCTCTGAAGGCTCTTCATCCCTAAATGGGGTCTCCCATGCTTGCTCAAGTAGGGGAGATGGGGTGATGCTTTGGGGGGCACCCCAGGAGCCCCAAGATAAACATTGGCAGCAGCAGGCTCCTGCATCCCAAGATTCGTCCAGGCGGCTCCAGGGGCCTCTGTCCTGCCACTCGTACCCCTGCTGTCTGGGGCAGTGACCACAGCAGGCCTCTCTTCTGTCTGCAGCACTCCTCCACCCTGAGCAGCGTGTTTGGGGACTCGTACTTTGAGCAGCAGATGGCGGCCAGACAGGCCAATGCTCTGTCCCACCAGGTGAGCGGGCACCCAGGCCGCCTGGCTGGTGCCCACGGCAATGCTCGCCGGGACCTGGGCCTCGCGGGTCAGGGCTTTGCTTCTTGGCCTCCCTCCCTCTCCCGTCTGCCGAGGCCCTCGGTGGGGGTGGCTTGGCTTGGCCTTCCCTGGAGTCTGCACCCAGCCCCGCAGAGCGGAGGCGGCAGGCTACAGGCAGGAAGGGCAGGCGGGAGCACTGAGCAGGGCGGGGCGAGCGCCAGGGGCTGGGGCGGGTCTGCGCCAGTGGGGCGGGGCGAGCAGGGCGGCGGCGCCTCTGCCTGGCGGTGCACGTGGGTTTGCCAGGAAGTTTCGCTGGCTTTGCTCAAAGGCGAGGGTCAGGGCATCAGGGCACGCAGGGGTTTGGCCGCGTCCTGGGGCTGTTCACTCACTCGCTCATGTATCCATTCATCCATCAGCAAGCCCCGAGTGTGACGGGAGGCCCGGGACACGGGGGACTTGAGCTCACCAGCCTTGGGTGCTGGGCACCCCGCCGGGTTGGCAGCCCGGCCAACAGCAGCCAGGGGCCCTGGGTGGCGACTCAGTGGGGCGTGGCCGTCTCATAGCCTGGTTCTTCCCTTGCCAGCTGGAGCAGTTCAACATGATGGAGAACGCCATCAGCTCCAGCAGCCTGTACAGCCCAGGCTCCACACTCAATTACTCACAGGCGGCCATGATGGGCCTCACGGGCAGCCACGGGAGCCTGCCGGACACCCAGCCACTTGGCTACCCCAGCCACAGCAGCATCCCCAACATCATTCTCACAGGTGAGCACCAGGGCCTGCGGGGACCCTACACAGGCATCCTTGGGGGGGGTCTCCTTCATGGGGCCCCCTCGGACCCTGTCTCAGATCCCCTGCCCTGGAGGGTGATGGCGTGATGGAACTGAAACTGCCACCCCACACTGGGTTGGGGCCCAAGTAGTCCAGACCCCCTCCTCCTTGAACTTGACTGACTCCTGGGGCTTTGAGGCAGTCCAGGGGGGGACACACCCGACAAAGCCAATCACTTGGCCTGCCCCACATTAGCTGAGTGTGTGCTAGGGCCACAGGTGACTGTGGGGTGGGCCCTGCCTGGCAGGGCAAGCACCGTGCAGTCAGCAGATGTGTAAAGGCTCCCATGTGCTGTCACAAGTACCCCAGCAGTCTGAGCATGTCTCCCAGGCACCGGGGGGACAGGCCAGCCTCCGTCCTGCATGGCATTTATGAGGAGGTCCCTGCTCTGTCTTGCACAGAAGCAGATCTTCTGTGGCCACCGCCCACCTCATCTTCTACCTGAAGATTCTAGGTTTTGTCAAAGAAAAAAGTGATTTTCCTATACTTCAGGGCTGTTTGGGGTGAGACGACCCCCCTGCCGGTGATCTCTGTTGGCATCTCCAGGGTGAAGGGGCCCTGCTGGCGATCTTCGTTGGCATCTCCAGGGTAAAGGGGGTCCATATTCAGGGCCCCCCATGGTCTGGGCTCTTCATGCAGAGTCCACCTCCTCCTCAGGTAGCGGTCAGCAATAGATACTTGTGCTCCTCAGTTTATGACAGGGTCACATCCCAATAAACCCATCATAAGTTAAAAAATCATAAGTCATAAGCTGAGGAACATCTGCAACAGCCTCAGACTCATGAGAAGCTCCAACTCCTGTGATTGCTCCAATGGCTCAGAAAGACAGGGACTTTCAGACCCATTTCCCAGATCTGGAAACTGAGGCCCATTGCCCAGGTTTCAACCTGGGTCTTTGAGGGACAACCCAGGCTTCCTTTATAATCTGAGCAGTGGCTGGGGCCCCCAGCACACCCACACTCACCCAGCCTGCTTCCAGGGACTCTCATAGGGTAGACCTTGCAGCAGAGGCTGACAGTAGGAGAGGTCCCTGCTGCCACCAGGTCACACTGATGTTTGTCGGTGGCACAGCCCTTGGCCCAGGGTTTCTCCTTGTTGGTGGTGCTGACGTTTGGGGTTAGATCATTCTCTGGTGGGGGCATCCTGTGCCCTGTAGGGTGTTGAGCAGCATCCCTGGCCTCCACCAACCAGATGCCAGTACCTCCCCTTTCCTAGCTGTGACAATCTGAATGTCCCCAGACATTGTCAATGTCACTAGGGGACAGAATCACCCTGGTGAGCACCCCTGGACTGAACCATGGATGGCCATGGAAGCACAGTGTTGGGGGCCATGAAACCAGGAATAAGCTGTGCTTTTTGTCCCCACCCCACCCGGCAGTGACAGGAGAGTCCCCCCCCAGCCTCTCTAAAGAACTGACCAGCTCACTGGCTGGGGTCGGTGACGTCAGCTTCGACTCCGACAATCAGTTCCCCCTGGACGAACTGAAGATCGACCCCCTGACCCTAGACGGACTGCACATGCTCAACGACCCTGACATGGTCCTGGCCGACCCGGCCACCGAGGACACCTTCCGGATGGACCGTCTGTGAGTGGGCACGCCTGGCACCCTGCCGCTGCCTAGCGGTTCCAATGGTGTCTCCCCAAGCCTGGGGATGGCTGCGCTCCGTCCCTTGCCCACGGCCGAGCTTGTGATTCCGAGCTTGCAGTGCCACCAAGCGCCCCCGCCAGCCTGCCCCTGGTTGTTACCTCCCACCGAAGCCAGGCTGGGATAGGAGGCTGTGAGCCCCCCCATCCCTGCAGACTTTCCCTGCGCCCGCTCCCTTGTCCCCTACCCTGGGGCATGAGCCGTCGCCACCCTGTAAGATGTGGAAAGCGTCTACTCCCCAGCGGGGCAGGAAGCTCGGGGTGGGGGACACTCATGGTCTGTGGCTGGCTATGGGCTGAGGTGCATTTTCCGACTGTTGTCCAGCTCTCACTGCCTTCCTTCATCCCTGGTCCCCCAGCTCGCCTGCCCTTCCCAGCCTGTGGTTAGGTAGAGAGCAAGCCCCGCCCTGCTCAAGCGAGAAGGCACCAGAGAGAGGGGCGGACACACAGCAAAATAAACACTATTTTGACTGCTGTCTTCTATATTTCTGAGCACACACAAAGCGCTGGGATCCAGCCAGGGCAGGATGCGAAGTGCGGACGGGACCAAGCAGGCCAAGAGTAAACCCTGACGCCCCTTCCCAGCTCACTCTGTTTCCAGCCTCCCCGCCCCGCCTCATCCCCAGGCAGGTGCAGCTGCAGCCACCTTTGCCGTAGTTTGCCCGGCCAGGTTGAGAGGGCTTGCAAAGTTCGCACCTGGAGGCATGGTTCCCTTGGGGGTGGGGAGGCGGTACAGCTCATTTCCATCCTTCGTTCCCTGTGCTGTGGTCACCATTACTGTTATAGATACATGCTGTGATTTAAGGCATGGGGGCGGGGGAGGCAGCCAGGGAAATTTTGTTGTGTTTTTGGGGTTTTTTTGTTTGTATTTACAATTTCGGTTGTAGATGAGCTGAATCCTTCGAGCCAACTTTTACCTGAGAGCATGATTTTATTCTAGAAATACTACATTACTTGTTTTTTTAAGCTAACTGGAAATGGGGGCAGATAAACCCAGAAGTGGTCCAATGCCTGCCTGGGTCTCAGTGGTGTATCCGGCCTTTTTTGTTTCTCTCCAAGTTATCTCAAAACGTGGCTCAAGTGCTGGTGGGCCAGGCAGGGACTTGGCAGAGCTTGTGGTGGCTGTTGGTGCCTTCACTACGGCAACAGCACAGACTTCAGGAAGGAGCCTTGGCTTTTATTGACGGTCTCTCAAAGACTGAGCCCCACCTGTCCTTCCTGAAGGTGCCCACCAGTCCTCAGAGCTGGCACATTGACCACCCCATGGCTGGCTGTAGCCGAGGCTTCTCTGCTCCCAGTGGATCAGGCCTGGGGGTGGGGAGCATGTGCCCCCCAAGATGAGGTTGTCCTCTGGTGGTCCATCCTGAGAATCAGGGCAGCGCTGGCATTTCGTCCCCTCCCCACTGACCCTCTGGCTTCCAGCCCACACACCCCTGACGGGCAGGGCTATCTTCTGGCTGGCCCTTCTCAGCAGCTCAGAGCCAGCTGGGGTGGACTCGGAGACAGAGCAGTGGGCGTTTCAGTGGCCAGTTTCCAGGTGCTTTGAGAAGTGTCTCCAGAGGCTAGGGTGACAGGGCACCTGGGGCTGTCCCTGATCCTCCAAACCACAGGCCCTGTGAGGGGAGCAGCGGGGCTGGCTGTTTTCTTTCAGTCACTTTGGAACATGAACTTCTGTTTTAATCCCAAATTGCATCTTGACGCTCTCGCTCACTCCGCTCCTCTGCCTGCCGGGCTGGCACCTTCTGCTTGGTGCATTTCTTTGTGGCATCGCGGCCGTCGCCTTCACTGGGATCTTGGGAACCCTGGCCTCTGTCCTCAGGAGCTGGATTGGAGCCTAGTGGCCATCCCTCCCTCTCTTTCCCCGGCAATGCTGTTAGCACGTGTCTAAGCAGCCGGGTGGCCGCTTGCATGAAAGGGCTCCTCCTGCTGTCCATCCTTTAGGGCTGAGGGGGCATAGTATCCCTCTGTCGAGCTCACCTGTCCAAGTTGAGGGCCCGTACTCTTACTGTGGCAGTGGCTGGGGGCACATTGTGGGGACTTTTTTTTTTTTTTAAGAAAAACTACATGTACATAGGAGAGTTTGATTACCATTAGACTTGTGTGTAGAACTTTTAAAAAATGGCCTTAATAAAATTACACACAACCCACCTGGATGCAATTTTCAAACAAGGCATTGGGGACCACGCAAGAGACTCTCATCAGCACCCGCTTCCTGGCCTTCCAGCCGCTGGCCGGTGCCCATGGCCACCACTCTCCCCAGATTCCTGGGTAGACAGGCAGGAGAAGAGGGACTCGGTACTGACCTCTGGGCATCCCAGGCTTGTGGCCCCTTTCTAGCATCCCACAGCCAGGAGCACAGGTGATGTATTAATGTGACGGCCTCAGTCCATAATGGAGTTCCTTTTCCAGTGAGAATGTGATGGGCTGAGGCCAGAGCTTTCCTGGAAGGGCGCTGGGCTGTGCTGGTCCCAGGGCCTGGCCAGTAGCCAGCAGCCAGGCAGCCCCATGTTCTGGAAGGGCTCACACCCCTCCTGGGCCTGGGAAGGCCTCCTGGGGTCTGCAATGGGATTTTGTGTGTGTTTGTTTAAATATCACTTCTCTACTAAATATTCTTGAGTTGCCAAGACTTTCTGAAACAAGACAGCTTGAGGGAATCAGCCCTTTGTGACGTAAAAATACTGTGATTTCAGACGAGCTGCGCCATGAGGGCGGTCCAGGGTCCCGCAGCGTGTGTATAGACCCGCCGCCCACATCCTTGCGTGCTTGGGACAAGCCTGGACGCTTGGCCTGAGCTCGGTCAGAGACCAGGCCAGGCTAGGCTGTTCTCCCCCACCCCACCCATGTGACTCCAGCTTCAGCCGAGCCCCTCAGCTGCACAAATCTTTTCCTGTAAAAATACTGTGATTTCAGACGAGCTGCGCCATGAGGGCGGTCCAGGGTCCCGCAGCGTGTGTATAGACCCGCCGTCCACATCCTTGCGTGCTTGGGACAAGCCTGGACGCTTGGCCTGAGCTCGGTCAGAGACCAGGCCAGGCTAGGCTGTTCCCCCCCACCCCACCCATGTGACTCCAGCTTCAGCCGAGCCCCTCAGCTGCACAAATCTTTTCCCCAGGATGGACACAAGGCAGGGGTACTCCTGAAAGTGTGACATCCCTTCCTGCCTTGGTTTACCTTCCCTAAACGGGGCCCGTAAGGTGGTGAGTTTTTGCCCCCATGAGGCTCACAGGCTGAGGACAGAGCCTGGGGTCAGCCCTTCTCTGTGTCCTCAGAGAAGAGGGTCTTGTGCCAATGGTGGGGCCCTGCATTGGGCACCTGGGCCCTTTGTGGCCTCTCCCTGTTTACTTGCAGGTTTTCAGCGCTGGGAAGGAGGGTCTTGACCTTGATGTGTCTGGCCTGATTTCTTCAGGTGGCCAAGCTCCTGGAGGGCACTTAGCTGGGAGAGCCCCCTGGTGACGCTATTGTGTCACAGTGGAGTGGGCGAGAGGCCCCATGTCCATCTGTCTGTCCATCCTGCTGAGCTGTGGGTGTTGGGTTTGGGGCCTATGTGTTGGGAACTTGCCACAGCTTGGTCAGGTGGGACAGGCGCAGGAGAGGCCCATGGGAGCTGGTCAGGACTCAGGCTGCAGGGGCAGCCACCTTTCTGTCCAGAGTCCTGGGCCTGACGAACCCCCATTGGTGTCCAACCCTAGAGTGGGCTCTGGTGTCCCCCTCAGGGGTCCTTGAGCTGGTTCACAGCTAGATATCCTTCCAAACTCCTTCCCCAGCCTGGATTCAGTATTTTCTGTATGTCCAAAAAAGATACTCCCCACCCCCACTGACGCCCTTGTGCAGACAGGGGAGGAGGTCTGGTTGGAGCCGTTGGTCAGAGACCAAGGAGCCTTTGGCACCAGGGCCACAAAGCCAGTACTGAGGTTCCCCTGGGCCTGGCCCATCGTCTGCAGGTGGTGCTCCAGGTGAGGGGGTCGTGGCTGCCAGAGCCCTCCCTGCGTGGCCTGGGATAGGCGTGGGGTTGGGGGGACTCAGTTCCTCCCCATCCCTGGAGGCCTGCTGTGGTGTGTGGGCATCTGAGTCCCTTTCTACCCACATTCTCCTTGAACCCTGGGGCCCCACCTCCTGGGGGTAACGCAGTGTGTGAGTTAGGGCTATGGGACGTTCCCTAGCTATTTGGGCCCCAGTTTCCCTCAGCCTGCAGCCTCCCCAGCTTCCTGACCAGGCAGGGGTCAGGCACCCCCTAGCCTTTGGTTTGGCACAGGTATCCACCCACCCACAAGAGGGAAGTGGGATAACCTGCACCCCTAGGTGTGTGTGCTGTGGTACACTCAAGGGTGTGGGGGGGGCAGGAATGGGTGCCTCATGACCCGAGCCTCAGTTTCCCTCCTGTCATATTCTCAGACCCACAAGTCTCAGGGCCCCAGCTCCTCCTGGGCAGGGTGTGGGGCAGGGGCTGGCTTGGGGTGGTGCTGGCTACAGAGGTTCCATCCACCTTCCGGCCTCCAACCAGCGCCAAAAACGCTGTCCCCAGAAGCCAGGGACATGTGGCATGTGTTGGGGTGGGGGTTTGCCCACATCTTGCAGCGTTCTGGAATTTGGGGGCAATCCATTCCCAACTTGCCAAGCACTTCTGACCTGTCCACCAGGGACAAGGGCACATAGCCGTGGCCTTGGCCACCAGGTCCCAGGAGGGAGGGCTTTGGCAGCCAAGGTCTGCTGGCCCAGCTGTGTCCCCCAGTAGGAAACTGCCCCGAGGGACTGGGCAGCCCCACTGATATATGCAAACCCACCGGTCCAAGCTCTGTCCCAGCCTGTGCTCCTCTGTGCCCAGGCTGGCTCTGCCCCCAACCCAGCATGTATGTTCTGCTGTGGACGTCCCATGGGTGGCCGCGGTGGACAGGGGCGGGGGCTCAGGGCACACTCGGTCGCCACTGCCCACTCTCTGGCGTGGACGCCTTTGTCCTTGTACCTTTGCATCCTTTGTAATGAAATGTAATAAAAATCCAATGTTTCGTCTCTGCCTCTTCCCGTTTTCCTACC